TCTGAAACTGTATGGGATCATTTTCTCTGTCATTTTTCAATTGTTTTCCATATGGCTTCTTTACCAGGCTTGTTCTGGTTCTTGCATAGAGGCTTCACATTTGCTACTTTTCTGTCGGCCAAAGCAAATCACTGGGCCTACTCCAGAATCAGTGTGATCCTGCAAGGTGCAATTTACTATAGGCCCTTAATGCAACTATCTGCTACAGATTTTTTTTTTCTTCCAATTTTCTAAATTATGTTTGGTTCTCTGTTTTCATTTTTAATCACTGTAATAAATTACATTGATTGGTTTTTCTAATGTTGATTCAGCTTTGCATTTCTGAAATAAACCCTACTTGGCAATAATGTATTATATGTTTTTATATTGCTGGATTCAATGTGCTAATATTTGTTTAGGATATTTGAAACCATGTTTATGACAGCCATTGACCTGTAATTTTAATCTCTTTTACTACCTTTGTCACATTTGGAATCAAGACTATGCTGGCCTCATAAAATAGGAAAAATGATTTTCCCTTTTTAAATATCTGGTAGATTTGGTGAAAGATTTGTATTGTTTCTCTATTAACTATTTGCAAGACTATTTTAGGAAGTCATATGGTCCTGGAGATTTTAGTGATAGGTTTATGACATTATTCAGATTTTCTCTTCCTTCTTGTTTCAGTAAATTGTATTTTTCTAGGAATTTGCTCATTTTAGCTAAACACAAAAATTTATTGGCTTAAAATTATTCATCATATACTCTCTCTCTCTTTTCTTTAAGTTGTTATTGTGAATTGAGTGATAGTTTACATGGGAGAACATCAGTTTTACACTCATCATTTCATTGCAATGATTATATTCTCCTCCATACATCATCATTCAACAATATTTTTACTTCTATTCCCTCTGTGTTTTGGGGGTTTTTAGCGGTTGGGGGAGAGGGATGTACATGAAAACACTTAGGAATACATAATCATTTAAACAACCAAAGGGCACATTCTATAAGCTTGCCTCCTGGCTGCCAACATCTGGCCATCAGCACACAGCCTTTCTCTTTCCATGAATCTAGAGTCCTCAGCTGCTCGATTTCTCCATGACCTTATCTCTGCTTCCGTTTCTGGTGCCACTGCTTCTCTGGATAGGGACCCACATTCTGCTTGTGCGCTTCTCCCTTGATGATCCTAGGGTCCTCTGTTCCTGGACTGTAAGATTAACTACTCCCCCCTTTTTTGAAAACTTGTAAGCCAATAACTTTGTACCTTTATAGCCACACACCCCCCATTTTTAGGTATCCCCCCAATTTTGGGTATCCAATATCGGTGTGCAACAAGGTTGTATTCTTTCACCATACTTATTCAATCTGTATCCTGAGCAAATAATCCGAGAAGCTGGGATATATGAAGAAAAATGTGGCATCAGGATTGGAGGAAGATTCATTAACAACCTGCAATATGCAGATGATACAACCTTGCTTGCTGAAAGTGAAAAGGAATTAAAACTTTTACTGATGAAGATGAAAAAGCACAGCCTTCGGTATGGATTGCATCTCAATGTAAAGAAAACAAATATCCTCACCACTGGACCAATAAACAACATTCTGATCTGTGGAGAAAAGATTGAAGTTGTCAAGGACTTCATTCTTCTTGGATCAACTATCAACACTCATGGAAGCAGCAGTCAAGAAATTAAACGATATATTGCATTAGGCAAATCTGTTGCACAAGACCTTTTTAAAGTGTTGAAGAGCAAAGATGTCAGCTTAAAGATAAAGGTGCACCTGACCCAAGCTATGGTATTTTCATTAACCTGATATGCATGTAAAAGCTGGACAGTGAATAAGGAAGACCGTAGAAGAATTGATGCTTTTGAGTTATGGTGTTGGAGGAGAATATTGAAAGTGCCATGGGCTGCCAAAAGAACCAACAGATCCGTTTTGGAAGCAGTGCAGCCAGAGTGCTCCTTGGAGGCCAGGATGGCCAAACTTTGTCTCTCATACTCAGACATATTGTCAGGAGGGACCAGTCACTGATGAAGGATATCATGTTTGGTAAGGTGGTGGATCAGAGAAAGAGAGGAAGACCCCCAACGAGATGCATTGGCCAAGTGGCAGCATTGATGGACACAAGCGTGGCAACAATAGTGAGGTTGGCCCAGGCAGTGGTTCATTCTGCTGTGCATAAGGTTGCTATGAGTCGGTACTGACTCGATGCCACCTAACAACAACAATGTCTAAGTTGCCCATCCCAATCAACTCTGTATACAGAGGGGATAGGATTGATACTTGATAAGAAGACTCCTTCCCTCTCAGTTTGTATTTTGAGCTACTACCTCCATAAATATAGGTCAAGTTCATCATATTGTAGCAATTTACACTTGTTTCCTTTAGCAAAATATATATATATATATATTATCTTCCTCTAGTCGAGTTCTGATCATTGAGCCATCGAAGCTAGGTCAAATGGGTAGTATCTACAAGTTTGGATGTTCTTGTGCATCTCCCCTCACTTCCTAGCAGTTGGATGCTTCACTCTGAGCTCTAGCCCTCCATGGCCATGTCCTTGTCCATGGGCTCAGGAGTCGCCAGGTCTCAACACATTTCAGACCAACCAGCCCTTTCTCTTCTCTCTCTTCTCTTCAGGTTGATGGGAGTCAATGGAACATGGTCAAACTCAGCCCATATCTTCATTTCTGCCTTTCCCCCTCTTCCACTCACTAGAAGACCAATGTGATCACCAGCAAACTTACATGCCTGCTCATGTGTTCCCTTTGAGTTTTAGTCTTGGAGGGGTTTTGTCCTGAAGGGACTTGATTACCTGCTTTGATTGCTCCCTGGCAAACAACTTACTTGTTCTTGTAGTAGCCAATCAAACTGCCATTTTTGTTTTGGATTTTTCCTGCTGATCTTTCTTTCAAGAAGTATCTTCTGTGCCTCTAGTTGTTCCAGGTTGGTCTGCTTTTCCTTTCAAGCGGGAATGTACCACCTCAGAAGGTTCTAGATGGCACTCAGAATCATTGTATACTCTTATTATTATTTTTAAAACAATGTCTTCCTTTTCAGTCTTGATATTCATTATTTGTGCTTATTTTCTATCATTAATCTTGCTGTTTTTGTTAGGTGCCATTGAGTCAGTTCTGACTCATAACAACTCTGCATAACAGAACAAAACACTGCCCAATCCTGTGCCATCCTCACAATTGTTGTGCTTGAGTCCTTTGCTGCTTCCATGGTGTCAATCCATCTCATTGTGGGTGTTCCTGTTTTCACTGACCCTCCAGTTTACCAAGCATAACATCCTTCTCCAGGGACTGGTCCCTTCTAATAATATGTCCAAAGCATGAAAGAAGAAGTTTCACAATCCTGGCTTCTAAGGAGCATTCTGGCTGTACATCTTCCAGCACAGATTTGTCTGCTTTTCTGACAGTCCAGAGTACTTTAAATATTCTTCTCCAACACTATAGCTTAGATGCATCAGTTCTTTTATGGGCTTTGCCATTCACTGTCCAACTTTATATTCATATATGGCAGTTGAAGGCTTATTAATTTTATCCATCTTTTCAAAGATAATTTTTGTTTTATTCTCTCAGTTTTGAATTGTTTTCTTTTCATTCATATCTGCTCTTGTTTCCTTTATTATTTTCCTTGGATTTAATTTGATGACTTTTTATGACTTTTTAAAATACTTAGATTTTTAAAAATCTTTCTTTTGTAGTATATGTATTTAAAGCTATAAAGTATGCATACTCTATATCCAATAAGTTTTCATTTGTAGTGTTTTTTAATGTAATTTAAATATTTAAGAGCTTTAATTATGAGTTGTTCTTTGACCCACATGTAATTCTGTAGTGTCTTCCTTTATGTACAGAAATTTGGGGATTTTTACAATTATATTTCTGAAACTGAATTCTAGCAAAATCCTATGATGGTCACAAAGCAAACTCAGTATAATTACAGTTCTTTGAATTGTAGGCTAGTGCTTGTTCATTTGGAGGTACATATTTAAATTTCCCACTTTGATATAGGATTTTTTAATTTCTCCTTTTAATTCTCTCAATTTTTGCTTCATATAGTTCAGCTGTATCTTTTGTTGTTGTGTTGTTAAATGCCGTCGAGTCGGTTCTGACTTTTAGGTTAATATAAATTTAAAATTGTTTTATTTTCTTCCTGGTTTATATAATTGTAAGTATCTTTCTTCATCCAAAATAATACTATTTGCCTTGAAGCCTATTTTGTCTGGTATTTCTTTAGATTAGTATTGGCATACTGTTTCTGTTTTTAATTGTCAATTTTTAACTTTCAACTCCTACTTTTTCCAAAGGGAATGCTTTATTTTGCAGCAGTCTTTTTCAGTATGGCAACAAAAAAAATGGTCTCCAGGAGCTTTGGACTTACATGCTCCTTAATGTTAGAAAGAGATGATTTCCTTCCTACTATCCAACTACCCAGCTGTTTTGTGGGAGAAGAATGAGGCTTTCTGCTCTCTTCAAGATTTACAGCCTTGGAAACCCTATGCAGGGGCCCTATGGGTTAGAACCGACTCCACAGCATATCACCACCACCACCACTATCCATCTTATTTCCTCCCTAATGACATTGAGTCCTGGTGTGGTACTGTGGGTTAATGCGCCAGACTGCAAAGCCGTTTGAACTGCAATGTCGGTGGTTCAGGCTCACCAGCTATTCCTTGGAAACCCTGTACAGGGTCACTATGGGTTGGAATCGACTTGACAGCACTTAAAAACAAACAACAACAACAACAATGACATTGATTAGCTTCACTATATCCAGAGGGGTGCTATATTTTGACTGTTATGGCCCGAACCACATGACCGTGCAGGCAGGAGAGGTGCAGTGAGCTGGGCACGCTCTCAATATCTTTATTATAGAATTTGTATGGGGTGGCTCCCAACAAGAAGCAAACCAAATAAGTATATGCCTATTACTTACAGACTATATATAACTAGAAATGATCATTAATCTGTAGAATTATACAAGGTTAATATGTTTATGTTTTTCAGATCATTGCAAATCATCATATGCAGTCAATTTCGTTTGCCTCTGGCGGAGACTCTGTAAGTATGGATTTATACATTTTTTTTATAGGTGTTAAAAGACTTCCAACTAAATCATATTAGTCCCTGTATGCCTTTTCTCAATATCATTTTATACTTTAGGAATAAGTACATATAGTAAGTAATAAAAATTTTGATTTGGGCAAATATGCCCTGTCACTGATTCAAAAGTATTTGGGTTAGTAATTGAGCTAATAATCCTCTGCTGTGTAATGAATCATGGAGAAGCTTCTTGGTGAACACATGTAAGTCTTAGAATTCAAGTATGTCAGATATGTGTTGTCAGTCCTTTCAGCATTCTCAATACAGAGTCCAGATAGACATTACTAATCAACCGTACTTGGCACATAAGGCAGAAGAAGTCTATTAGCCATTTTGGCAACTATCAACTAGTTCTAAGTCTAATCTAGAGTGAGGAACCACATTTATAGAAAATTGTGGAGGGAAACCCCAGCTGTTCCTGGACAAAACTTGCATGTCCTTTCTATCAAGAATATACACGGAACTCATTTCTTCAACTCTACTTTGCAAAGAGGAAATGTTATTCACTGACTTCCTACTTCATCATTTCAGAGACACTGAAGCTAAGGAGTCTATGACTGAATAAGAAACAAATCTGTTTAAACTGAAGAAAGGATGATTTTGCTCCTCTCTGACATCATGAGTCTTTTTCTTGTGTCTGTAACAAATGGAAGGTTAGAAGAGGGCAGAATATAGTTTTCATAATGATTGAGCCCTTTGAACATAAATGGCATTAAGGAAACCATATGCAGATCTTATTCTAGCCTAGAATATACTACCTTCTCTTTTGTCAAACATCAGTTATTAAAGATTATACTTTTCAGAAATTAAGAAATAAAATCTAGTTAACCTGTTGATTTTGTATTCTTATACCTACTTTTAGTTTCTCACTTCCATTTGAGTAATGAAATTTAGACTCATAAATAATAGGATACAGAAATCCAAGAGAGATATGGATCAGTGGTAAAAATCAAATCTATCAGCTGGTATCACAACAAAGCTATTATTTGTTTGAAACTTAATACTTCATATTTAAAAGAATATAAGGGAAGAACAAGAAAATAGTTGCTAAGCCTAAAAGAAGTTAAAGTTCCAAAATTACTCTGTATTCTCATTGCTTTATTCATTGATATCTGAACTATTTAAGCAAGTTCCTCCACTTGGGTATTAGTCTAACTTTATTTTGTGTGAAATATATATATGCATCATGGATAGTCAAATGTTATTTAAATTAGTCACTTCTTGAAAGCACTTCAGTGATTACTGGTCTTCACATTGGCTTTCAGTGACTCAAAGTAGTTAATCAGGTCATGTCCATTTGGGTTTTGCCATAGCCTCACCTTTCAATCTCCGATATAGTTATTTTCTAAGTAATATATTCTTTCCATGATGCCACCACTTAGAAGTCAACCAATTTTTTTTTCTCCAAGAATCAGCAAACAGGAGTCATCCGAGATGGTTGCTGTGTGATCATAAAACCCAGCACAATACTGAATCTGTACTCTGATCCATCACACCTTACAATCTGACCTAGACAGTGACACCATGCTTCTGTCTAGGGTAGCAGAGTGGCCACTGCATCCAGGCTGAAAACACAAATTGTCTTTTCTCTTCCTAATCCATTAAAGCCTGGTCATCTATGAAGGGACTAAAATATGAAAAATAATTATTGGTGCTAGCCTTAAAATTTCCCTTTTTGAGCTATAAGGATTACTGTCATTTTAGATTCTAAGAGGAACGCCTCCTTTTTTCTAGGTATGCTGTATATACAACAGAACAAAACACTGCCTGGTCCTGAGCCACCCTCACAATTGTTACCTTTGAGCCCATTGTTGCCATCACTGTGTCAAGCCATCTTGTTGGGGGTTTTCTTCATTAACCCTCCACTTTACCAAACATGATGTGCTTCTCCAGGAACTGACTCCTCCTTAACAACATGTCTAAAGGACAAGAGTCAAAGTCTTATCATTCTGAAGAGTGTTCTGGCTTTACTTCTTCCTAGACAGACTTGTTTGTCCTTCTAGCAATCCACTGAACCTTCATTATTCTACTCCAGCAGCATAATTCAAATGCATCAATGCATTTACGGTCTTCCTTATTCATTGTCTAATTTTCACACATATACAAAGTAATTGAAATTACCATGTTTTGGGTTAGGCGCACCCTAGTCCTCAAACTGACATCTTTACTTTTTGACACTTTAAAGAGAACTTTTACAACAGATTTGCCTAATTCAATACATCTTTTGATTACTTGACTGCTGCTTCCATGAGTGTTGATTGTGGATCCAAGCAAAATGAAGTCTTTGACAACTTCAGTCTTGTCTCTGTTTATCATGATGCTATTTCTTGCTCCAGTTGTGAGGATTTACATTTTCTTTACATTGATGTGCAATCCATACTGAAGGCTGTAGTCTTTGATATTCATCACTAAGTATTGTAAGTCCTCTTCACTTCCAGCAATCAAGGTTGTGTCATCTGTATATAGCAAGTTGTTAATGAGTCTCCCCCCCCCAATTCTCATGCCACATTCTTCTTCAAACAATCCAAATTCTCAGATTATTTGCTTATTGAACAGATTGAATAAGTATAGTCAAAGAATACAACCCTGAAAAACACCTTTCCTGATTTTGAATTATTCAGTATCTCTTTGTTTGCTGAAACAACTGCCTTTTGGTCTATGTGCAGGTTCCTCATGAGTACAATGAAGTGTTCTTGAATTCCCATAGTTCTCAATATTATCCATAGTTTGTTATGTCAAAACCTTTCCATAGTCAATAAAGCACAAGTAAACACTTTTCTGGTTTCTCTGCTTTCAGCGAAGATCCATCTCATATCAGCAATGATATCCCTAGTTCAATGTCCTCTTCTGAATCCTGCTTGAATTTCTGGCAGTGCACTGCCATTGTACTACTGCAATCATTTAAAAATTATCTTCAGCAAAATTTTACCTGCATGTAATACTAATGATAATTTTAGATGTTTACTGTATTCCAATGGGTCACCTTTCTTTGGAATGGATACAAATATGGATTTTTCCCAATCTGTTGACCAGGTTGTTGTTAAGTGTCATCAAATCAGTTCCAACAGTGAACCTGTATTGGGTTTCCAAGGAGTAGATGGTGGGTTTGAACCACCAACTTTGTGGTTCAAATTGACTTTGCAGTCCAGCACCACACAAGTTGGCCAGGCAGCTGTCTTCCAAATTTCTTGGCATAGATGCATGAGCATCTGCAGTGCTGTATCAGTTTGTTGGACATTTCAATTTCTATTCCATCAAGTCTGGAGGCTTGTTGTTTGCAGATGCCTTTAGTGCAGCTGGGACCTTTTCCCTCAGTATCATCAATTCTTGATTATATGGTACCTCTTAAAATGTTTGAACACCGGCAATTGTTTTTGATACAGTGACATTGTCTATTCCTTCCATCTACCATTTCCCCCTCTTTTCTTTCTTTTTTTCCATTTGCTTTTGATGTTTCTTGTGCCATTCAATATTTTATCCATTTGTTGTTGTTAGGTGCCATCAGTTGGTACCAACTCATAGCTGACCTATGTTCAACAGAACAAAACACTACTCTGGGCCAACCTCACAATTGTTGCCATGCTTGAGCCCATTGACACTGCCACTTTGCCAATCCAGCTCGCTGGGGGTCTTCCTCTTTTTCCCTGACCCTCCACCTTACCAAACATGATATACTTCTTCAGTGACTGAGCCCTCCTGACAATATATCCAAAGTATGAGAGACGAAGTATGACCATCCTGATTTCCAAGGAGCACTCTGGCTGCACTTCTTCCAACACAGGTATGTTGGTTCTTTTGGCAGCCCATGGCACTTTCAATATTCTCCTCCAACACCGTAACTCAAAAGCATCAATTCTTCTATGGTCTACCTTATTCACTGTGCAGCTTTCGCATGCTTATGAGGTTCTTGAAAATACCATGGCTTGGGTCAGGTGCACCTTAGTCCTCAAGCTGACATCTTTGCTTTTCAATACTTTAAAAAGGTATTGTGCAGCATATTTGCCTAATGCAATACATCATCTGATTTCTTGACTGCTGCTTCCATGAGTATTGATAGTTCATCCAAGAAAAATGAAGTCCTTGACAACTTCAATCTTTTCTCCATTGATAAGAATGCTGTTTATTGGTCCAGTGGTGAGGAATTTTGTTTTCTTTACATTGAGATGCAACTCATACCGAAGGCTGTGGTCTTTATCAGTAAATACTTTAAGTCCTCTTCACTTTCAGCAAGCAGAGTTTTATCATCTGCATATCACAAGTTGTTAATGAGTCTTCCTCCAATCCTGATGCTACATTTTTCTTCATATAACCAAGCTTCTCGGATTATTTGCTCAGGATACAGATTGAATAAGTATGGTAAAAGAATGCAACCCTGTCACACACCTTTCTTCATTTGAAACCATTCAGTGTTCCCAGGTTCTGTTCGAACAACTGCCTCTTGGTCCAGGTACAGATTCCTCATGAGCACAATTAAATATTCAGAAATACTCATACTTGGCAATGTTGTCCATAGCTTGCCATGATCTACACAATCAAAAGCCTTTGCATAGTCAATAAAGCACAGGTAAACATCTTTCTGATAGTCTCTGCTTTCAGCCAAGATCCATCAGACATCAGCAATGCTATCCTTCATTCCACGGCCTCTTCTGAATCCAGCTTGAACCTCTGGAATTTCTCTGTCAATGTATGCTTGCAGCCATTTCTGTATTACTGTTAGTAAAACGTTACTCACATGGAGTATCAAAGATATTGTCCAATGATTTCTGCATTCCATTGGATCACCTCTCTTTGGAATGGGCACAAATACAGATCTCTTCCAATCCGTTGGCCAGATAGTTGTCTTATAGAATCATGCAATATTGCATTGCAATATTGCAACTCAAGAGTTGATTTTTCCCCTTGATTTGACTTTGTCTTCTTGAGCTGCCCTTTGAAATATATTGTTCAGCTCTTTGACT